GAACACTTTATGACCATATAGAAATATCTTCTATTTTCTTCCCTTTGTTTATTTCTCTTTAATTTTTAAATATTTTATTCATTATTTTTATTTTATGTATATGAGTGTACTGCCTGCTTGTATGTAAGTGCACCTGTGTCATGCAATGCCTGAAGAGGTCAGAAGAGGGTGTCGGATCCTCTGGAACTGGACTTAACAGACGATAACTAGCTACCATGTGGGTGCTGGGAATAGAACCTTGGTCCTCTGCAAGAGCAGCCACTGCTCTTAACTATGGAGCCATCTCTCCAGAATTTTAATGGGTTATAAAAGTACTGAGTTTTTATGAAGCATGGTAAGGACTCATGTCAGTAGCAACAGGTTGGTGATGATAGAATAATGTTCTTATTAAGTATGGGTGTAAATCACATTTTCTTTCAGGGGCTGCAATATTAACATTGAAAATGAGATTGGGGGTGGTGCTGAAGAGATGGCTCATGAGTTAAGAGCACTGTCTGCTCTTGTAGAGGACTGGGGTTCTATTCGTAGTACCCACATGGCAGCTAGTAACTGTCTGTAAGTCCAGTTCCAGGGGATCTGACGCCCTTTTCTGACTTCCACAGGCATTGCACAACATGGATGCACTCATATAATGCAGGTAATACATTCATACGCATAAAATAAAAATATAGATAAAATATTTTCTAAAAAAGAAAATGAATTTGTGATTCTTATCTTTTCTTTGAAAGGTGTTTTCAGGCTACGGAAGTAAGTATTTGTAGCAAGAGATTTACAAAGAGCAATTACCTATAGTATTGCCATTGCTTTCAATAAAGGGGAGAATCAGAAATCACCTTCAGTACTCACAAAGTACAGGGAAAGGTTTATCCTCTTTAAACTTATTATCTGAAACATCTGCATAATTATTGGAATTAGGCAGAAGTATAAACAACTTCCCTTCATGGATATAATACACCATAACATGCTTCTTTTAGGACCTCTAGTCCAAAAATATATGTCTCATTTATAACTTTTGTCCTCCCCAACAATCTCAATGGAATGGATGGATTGATGTTAAAGTTCTTCTATTCTTGGGATTGATGGTGTGTGTGTGTGGGGGGGGTGCGTATGGTGTATGTGTGTGTGTTTGTGTGTATGTTTGGTGTGTGTGTGTGGTGTACATGTGTGTATGGGATGTGTGTGTGTGGTATATGGTGTGTGTATGGTGTACGTGTGTATGTGTGTGTGTGGTGTACATGTGTGTATGGTGTGTGTGTGGTGTATGTGTGTGTGTGGTGTGTGTGTGTATGGTGTACGTGTGTGTGTATGTGTGTGTGTGGTGTACATGTGTGTATGGTGTGTGTGTGGTGTGTGTGTGTGGTGTATGTGTGTGTGTATATGTGTGGTGTACATGTGTGTATGGTGTGTGTGTGGTGTGTGTGTGTATGGTGTACGTGTGTGTGTATGGTGTGTGTGTGTATGGTGTACTTGTGTGTGTATGTGTGTGTGTGGTGTACATGTGTGTATGGTGTGTGTGTGTATGGTGTACGTGTGTGTGTATGGTGTGTGTGTGTGGTGTGTGTGTGTATGGTGTACGTGTGTGTGTATGTGTGTGTGTGGTGTACATGTGTGTATGGTGTATGTGTGTGTGTGTGTATGGTATATGTACATATTGGAGCCTCCAGGGGAGGATGTAGATGTCCTGTTCTACAACTTTCTTCCTTATTCTCTTCAACGGTTTCTCATTGAACATGGCTGGAGGTCAGTAAGCATTAGCAGTCTTCCTGTCTCCACTGCACACAGTGCTGGAGTTACAGGTGCATGCAACCATGTCCAGCTTTCATAAGGGTTTCTCAGATCTGAATTTTGGTCTTCAGGCTTTTACAGCAAGTGATCTTATCCGCTGAGCCATCTCTCAGCCCCTGCTTTTCTTTTAAGGTTAGTGTCTGCTTTGCTTTATTTTTATTTTTTAACTACTTATTTATTTAATGTGTATGAGTATGATGCCTGTAAGTGCACTCATATCATGTAATGCCTATGGAGGCCAAAAGAGGAGGTCGGATCCCCTGGAATTGGAGTTGTTAGCTGCCATGTGAGTCTTCTGCAAAAGCAGCCAGTGCTCTTAAATGTTGGGCTGTCTCTATAGCCCCTGCTTTGCTTTTTTTAAAGCATCTAGCCTAGAAATTATTTTCTTATTAATTAATTGCCTTTGACTTTTTAGAGAAAAATATCATTACATACATGTCTTTGTATGTTCTATCTAAATAGCTACTCTGTCTAAATATCTCCTAAAGCTACAGGTAAAGCTGAAACAGAAAAGGACAGGACTAATTCAGACAATAACAAGACTAATTCAGAAGGTAACAAGACCACATTATCTCAAGAAAATTCTATCTTGGTCAAGAGTAGGAGCCTAAGTTTACTGCACTACATCAATTATACCACTCTGTGTTCACCTGTGATGCCCAGCAGCAATCATACCAAATCTCACCCTCATCCAGCCTTGGCTTTGGAAGGCCTTCACATTTTGGTCCCAAGCTAATTTTCTCAAATTCACTTACACAGGACATCTACTGTAGCTTAAGTGAGACCAGACCTGCTCCCAAACATGCCATATACGTTCCCCAAACTGTTGTTTATTTTGGTGTTTCCTACTGAATGTGACATCTCTGTAACAATATTAACCAGACATTCCACCAACCTGCTGCTCTAGCCCTAGTTCAAATACCACCTCCTCCTAAGAACCTTCTTTGATCTGGTAGCTCATTCTTAATCTCTGAAGCAACCTCTGTATTCATGTTTCTTATGAAGTACATGAGCTTGTATGTCTTTGGCTTTGACTTCCTAGGTCTCCTCACCCATGAGGTTCAGTCAGCCTGTGTATGCTTATCACAAGCTCCACTCAGTCAACCACAAGGGCAGGGATCAACTCTGAACACTCTGTGGAGTAAATGATGCACCACTGTGATGGTGATCACAGGAACCTCAGTCTCACAAAGAGTATCAGTCACTATAATTTGCACTCGCAGGCTGGGCTTCAAGAAGAAAAGCACTTGGGGCTGAAGAGATGGCCCAGAGCACTGACTGCTCTTAAAGAGGATGCAGGTTCAGTTCCCAGCACCCACATGGCAGCTAACAACTGTCTATAACTCTAGTTCCATAGAATCCAACACCCTCTTTTGACTTCTGTGGGCATTGCATGACACAAGTGTAATTACATACATGCAGGTAATGCACTCATACACATTAAATAAATAAACAAACAAAAAAGTAAATAAATAAAATTTTAAAAAGAAGAGAAGTCCTGAAAAAACATCTCATTCTCTGTTGAGGAAATTGGACTAAAAACTTCATTTAAGCAGATCTGCCTCTAGTAACTTGCTATGGATGACTCTATTGGCCTGGCCAGGCTGGAATCCCTCCTCCTCTTTCTGTGTATCTTTCTTCACACTCTTGGCCTTAAGAGACATTTGAAAAATACTCTGGAAAAGCATGTCTTAGGCATTTGGAGAAGAGCAGTTCAAATCAAGTGTGCATCTACTTGTACGTTCACTTATGAGCTAAAAGGAATAAGAAACTTTCATTCAGTAAAGAATAACAAAGTCAAACCATTCACATGGAGCTATTATTCTTTTCCTAAACAACATATGATGCTTTCATCAGAGTTGAGGCGACTCACAGTGTTCAATTCAGAATAGCTCCAGTTACAAAAACTGTAAGTGAAAAACATAAAATCCCAAAACACTGTGTTAAGTGACACAGTCAGTCATCAAACTGTAAGTGTACAACTCCACTTATATTAAATATTCAGAAAAGTGCAATTCTATGGAGACAGAAAGTAGATTAGCTGCTTCCTGGGGCTAGGAGTGTGGGAGGGCTCTTACTGGGGTGCAGAAATGCCTTAAGGCTAGGTTATGGTGATATTAAGTAATTAGCTAAATTTATTAAAGTCACTTAATAATATACTTGAAATGACTTCTCTTATGTATAAATCATACCTCAATAAAGTTGCTGAAAATGCAGTAAATGGAGGGAGCCATTAACAGCAATAATTTGTAATTTAAGGCAGAGAGAGTGGCCCATGTTAAACTCTAATATAACAGAGTTGACATCATTATACTTTAAGAAAAGGGGAAATGAATCCTTATAATGCTGTGGCACTTATGGATGAACTTTAATAGTTTCTACAATATGTTAAAATAAAATCAATCTCATATTCTTTCAATCTAAAATCTAGGAGCATCTTTTACTATTTGCAAAAGCAATGCAAAACCTTTAAGCAACTCAATCTAAAAATGCACTTGTTGGCATTTGGTTGTTTAATGTAAACTGAATATTTTATTTCCTGGTGAAGAAGAGGAAGTCTTTTGGTTCATTTGGTTTACAACCGTTTTAAGGGCAACATGAACAGCAAAAGTGAGTGTTAAGATGTGAATTCCACCTGCTTCTTGAAGAAGGGGCAGTCACACCTCCAAGTTAAAATCATCCAAGCTGAATTTTATAACACGGAAGGGTGTGACACCAAATCTCCTCAGTAGAATCTACTGTCAAGTACTCATGCAACGAAGATTTACTGAAATTGCCTATGAGCCCAGTACTGTGCATGACTCAAACTCCAGTCCTATCAGTCAAGGGGCTCCCAATCTCAGAGGTCAAAGTGGCAACAGGCAGTGTGGTGCAGTAAACACCCACGGCCAGAGGAGCACTCAGCACTTGCCAAAGGAGATGACTCCTCACCAGGCGGAGTCAGGTAGAATGATCTAGAACTCCCTAAATAGCATACAGAAGGCACAGAATAGAGCAAATATAATCAAGATTCATGCTAGTTCAAAGTCATTACTGGACTGCCTATCAAACCAAACCAAAACAATAACAACAAAAAAACTAAGTGTAAGAAGTCTTGTGATTTGCGGTAAGGGGAGGCTTGGTAAGGGTCATAGGGCATATTGAAATTCAAACTCTGGTATGATGCTTTCTTTTATCCCAAGACATTTGCAAAAGAAAATCCAACAGTGGATTACCTCGGACCACCTCCTCCACAGACTCGGTAGTGGTGGTGGTGGTGGTGGTGGCGATGCTGGTGGTTCTTTCGGTCGCCTCTTCATAGGGCTCCTCGGCCTCCTCCTCTACCTCATCCCCATCCTCTACATCCTCGTCATCATCGGTTTCTTCTTCCTCCGCGTCAGCCACTTCCTCTTCCTCTGCTACTTCTACTACTTTGTCTTCACTGTAAGAGCAAACAGAAACATCCGTGACTTCCCAACTGAACAGTTCAGGAAAGGAAAGAAAAGCCAAGGCACCTCCGTGGTTTGTGAGGGAATATGGCATCAAAGAAAAAGCACACACAAGCTTGAGGACAGGTTAAGTAGGAATTCCAGCTCAGCAGGTCTATAAAACTTTTAACATTTGGACACAGGGCTTCTTAGTTTAATATCTGAGGATGCTATGGTTCCAACCATGTGACATTCTGGGAAAGCTGAAAGAGTGAGACCAGAAAGTGAGGTATGGCTACTAGGGTCCGAGCGGAAGAAGAAATGGATGCAAAGGCAAAGGCAGACCAAACGATTTTTAAGGCAGTAAGATTGTGTGGGTACATGACATTATAAATCTGTCAATCCTAAATGTGTAGCACAGAGAAAGTGAACTCAAATGTAAAATATCAACACTGATGAACGATAATGTGTCAATTTAGGTTCAAATGCACCACACAGAAGCAAAATGTTTAGAGGAAAGTGGGGGTCGGGGCGACTGAGAGGAGACAGTGAAGAATCTCTGTACTTTCCAGTTAAATTCCCTGTAAGCTTAAAACTGCTTTACAGAATAAAGCTATCAAAGAAGGAGGGGAACCTGGGTATTTATCCCAAGGACTGTAAGTCACCATATCACAGACATATGTGCATACCAGAGTTTGCTCCAGCACCATTTGTAATATCTACACTATGGAACCAACATAGATGTCCAACAACAGAGGAATAGATAAATAGATAAAAGGACTTGGTAGTTTGTATATAGATATATACAAACACGTATACACGTATTTGTGTTTGTGTACATATACACAACATATATAACAATAATAATTAAAGAAGACATCATGAATTTGAGGGGGAGGGGAACAGGAGGAGTTGGAGTGGGGAGAGGGGTGGAAAAGATGTAAATACAGTACTCGTGTATGAAATTCTCAAAAGAATAAATTTTAAAATAAAGAAAATGTGGTGTATATCCATACATAATGGAGTTTTTTTCAGTCACAAAGAATGAAGTTAAGCCATTTGTAAGAAAATGAATGAACGAGTAGTCATACTAAGTGAACCATGTAGTCTCAGAAAGATAAATATTGTATTTCTTCTCTCATTTGTGGTTCATGTGTGTTATAGAGACACATAAACCCTTCTTTTAAAATAAAGAAAATGTGGTGTATATCCATACATAATGGAGTTTTTTTCAGTCACAAAGAATGAAGTTAAGCCATTTGTAAGAAAATGAATGAACGAGTAGTCATACTAAGTGAACCATGTAGTCTCAGAAAGATAAATATTGTATTTCTTCTCTCATTTGTGGTTCATGTGTGTTATAGAGACACATAAACCCTTCCCTCCCCAAGTTGGTATTGGTCACAGTGTTTTGTCACAGCAATGGAGAAACAAACTAGAACAATTGCTAAACTTAAAAAAAAAGGCGGGGGGGGGGAGAAAAGACACCAAAACCCAAGAGCCCAAGAGTTTTCTGTAATAGAGGGATTCTCATAACACATGTGACAGAGCTTCATAGCATCTGCACAGGAGTAGGTAGATATTCAGTAAGTGTAGGTGGAAACTGACATAAAACTCACTATGAAAGTGTAACTAGTTACAAGGAGGGAAGAAAGTGACCTATATAATGTGTGCTGTTTC